CCCGTATCTCAGTGCCCATATAGCTTGTGTGTGTGAACATTCGGCTACTGGGAGAGTTGAGTTAACGTACAATTTGATTTTCGATATTAATGAGTTCTCAGTTTGTAAATGTCCCAAAGAGTCACTGTCTTGCTCCCTTAATTCAATGCACAGAAAGTGTCTGTGTTAATATTTTTTTTCTCAAGTCCACGTGTGTGGCTGGGGTGTAGCCTTTCCCTCGACTAACAATTTTGTTCGGAGTTTGTATCGTGCCGGTCTATCTGCTTACTTTAGACGTTAGAACTGTGGTCTTTGTTCGTGTATTTGCACAAAGCGGCCTGTAGTTAAGTTTACATGGTTTTCAAGCATAACTAATGGACGCGCGCCTGATTTTGCTCTTTACCTGATCGTGAGTTAGTAAATTCCCATGCCTCCCCACCCTCTCCATTCCCATTACTTAGTCAAACGTATTGCCCCCGTTTAGAGTTTAATAAACAAAAATAACTAACAAGTTATAATTTAACTCATTTTATTTACTGTTCAAAACTCTATTTTGTTTTCTTTCTGAGGCCCATGAGTTACAATCTATTCTATGCCTGGCGTTAATAACTCGCGGCTGCTGAATGTTTTATGGACGGGGTAGCCTGTTTGAACACACCGAGATGTTTGTTTACAGTTTGAAATAAGTAATCACATTTAGAAATGTGTCCTCCATCAGAGGTGAGGACCAAACCACAATACTGACGCCCCCACACACAAGTTTCGTATTTTGAATATGTCTTTGTTAAAATTTCTTAATTTCAAACTTTTTATGGCTATCATATTTTCTATGTATATCCAAACATTGTATAATTTAATGCAAAACTTCATGATTATAACTATATATATAAATGAATTGAAATCGTTATTGACTACAATTTATTCGAATCACGATAGTAATTTAGTGTTAACCGCATCGGCAGTTTTGCAATAGCACGTTTGTAATTTCCAATCTTCATATTTTTCAGGAACATTTTTTAAAAACTATGGTCATAGTAATATTTGGTCACGAAATGAATTTATTTCTCCGGTACAGTTATCACTTAAATCGTGTGTTTTATTTCAATGTATCGTAGTTCCATTTCTATAGAGATCAATTTTCAAGGGCAGGAGGTTTCTGTTTTTAAGGGAATCGTTTACTGTCGTTCTGTAAAGTTTTTTTTTGCAACAGAAAATAATATCTTTCCTGATCATCATCCGCATTAATTTAAAAGGAAGTAAAACAAGACAGCGCAAATGCTTTGTTGCATCAGTTATATATCACATAAAAATTCCATCTTGATTTTGCTGAAGAACACTATGCTATTCTGCAATCCGTGGTTAATATCGAAAATGTCTCTCTTCCCGAAACAATCAATAATAGCATGACAGACACAAAACAAAAACAGACGGAATTAAACTTAACCAATTTTATAAGTAGCCTCCAATCTATATTGCCTCGGGCTGTCAGTGTTGATGGGCAAGACAAAACACGGTGTTTTAAAAAGGTTTATGAAAACAAATTAATGGCTACATTACGTGAACCTAATTTAATAATTCCCATTGATAGCAAAATATCTCGTCTGTCTCAGATCTGAGAATAAATTCCATTTAACACAGAGTTTCTTTATGCACGTCTTCATTTCACTTGTTGGTATGAAACTAATTTAAAAGTGGAGTCCAGTATCAACCATTTAACACCGAAAGGAAATTCGCCGAATGAGACGGGGCCTCCAAAAGACTGAACAACTTTTGATTATCGATTACATTTACATTTAAGATCTGAGGATAATCTAGAAAGTCGCTGTATAATTTTTAAATTGAAAACTGCACTAATTAAATGGTAAATAATGCATTTATTAGAAGTTTTATTATTATGCAATAATGGCTCGTGTTTAGTTGCCTACACGCTCTGTTTAGATTGTATTAACTCACAATTATTCGTTAACTCATATTACGAAATGCTCTGGCTGAAGTGACACATTTCTATATTAGCCACAATGCCGTCAGTGCGGCTTAGATATGTTTTGCACTTTAAAGTTTAGCACTGCAACGGTACAAACGCATGAGAAAACATTGAAGGAAAATATTTGCCTGGGTCGTTTGTAGTTTCCTAACATCTGGCCCACTGTCCCCGAATAACCAATATGCCCGGTAGTTTACAACTTGTTATCACGGTACCTAGTCACAAATGTTATTAAATGCTTACTCTTCCAGACTACACACAAAAAGAAATTGAAAATCGTAGCAGGTAGAACTGAACTGCTTTGGTGGCAAGTCGTGGGCCAGTGAGGGGCCCTGGCCTGTAGAGGGCAGCCGCATTCCTTACAGATAATGCAGTGGCAGCTATTGAACAATGCTCTCGATCCATATCCAACTACAACATTTCACCCGATCAGCACGTTTGTGGTCAGAAAACACTTCTTCTTCCTGTCAATATTTTTTTGTCTGTATTGATAAGATAATTTAACTGAATATGTTTTGTACGTGTGTAATATTGACTGAGCGCAGAAGCGAACCAGGGGCCGACCAGTCAGCCAGGCGGTTGCAACTTTTAATTTCTCGAATGAAATCCGATCTACCAATTATTGCAGCCAACTCAAAATGAAATGAGCTTAAGTATACGTCAATAGAGTATTTTATAAATCGGAGAAACCCGTCTGTTGAACACTGCCGGGTACCTAACACGTGCGACGTAAACAATTGGAATTACAGTTTGCCCATATTGTTTTGTTAGTTAAACGATGCAACAATCTAAAATAACAAGTGAATGTGGCACATGTATAAAATGTGTGCAGATCAGTTTTAAGCAACATGCATGTACTAAATATGTGTGATTCTCATTAGCTGTCATGCGCATCATGCAATGGATTATGATTTAACTTAGTTGAAGCATTAAATTGTAAAATGCTGATTCAGTAAGTAAGCAGATACCTGTCTGCGCGACTATAACATTCACACGTACAGGTCTAACGTGTTAAATAATGAGTGGAAAATATATTCTGTTTGTATGCGCACCCAAAAGTAAAATAAAAACATATCATTTACGAAATCGATGTATTTGATAAGGTAGATGTACACATCTGTGTCTCTGTGCGCGCGTGTTTCTCAATATCTTTCGGGATTGTCTTCATGAGGTTAATGCCGTGTCTATGAAAAGGAATATTATGTTCATACCCTTATTAGAATAATAAAAGTGAGGCCATGATACGGATTTGAAAAACAAACTATATCTCTGGCCACCCGCTCAGGAAATGTCAGAGCACAAAACCAAGACATGAAGACTTCGAGATTGCGATTGCTTCTTTTATGTAAGTAATAAAATATTACTTTAACATAAATATATAAGGGACTCTGCGTTGTTTCTTTTATCTTCACAAGACACATTGAAATGTACCAAAAACAATCTTTTCAAGAGAAGGGGAAAAATAGCATAACGGAAAAAATGTACATCCCACATAGAACATCTAATCAATTAAAGCTACAGAACAGTTTCCAGAACTTCTTTTAAAGAAATAAATACATTGAGGCAGGCCACGTGAAAATGATATTAAAATTCCCTGGGCAGCATTATGGAAAAATGTATACAAGGAAAAAAAATCATTCAGATAATGCTTGTTCTTCTTCAGTTCAAAAGACAAATATATGCAACATATATACATAGTGGTATAAGATGTGCATGGTAACCGCTCTTCGAAAACCTATAAGAAAAGGTTCTAACAAAGTACTCCACTTTTAACTTCATGTTCCTAAACGAACAGACACAAATTTAGTTTGTGTCTCAGGGTTATTTCTTTTTCTGTACCAACCTATCTGACCCGGTGCATTTTTTTTGAATTTTTAAATGTTTTTTTCTAACACTTCACTAAATTTTATTGTCTTTAGGAATCGCTATAACTGCGGTTAAGTTACAATCATATCACCACATCAAAATATCTCAAATATGTACACATCTTTTCTAGAATTTTGAATGCTTGGATATGCTCTTTGTAAGAAAGCGCAATATATTGACATGTTTTACAGGGCGTTTTGTCTCATTACATCCGACTGCCGATTTTTTAAAATGCTAGATTGTGGGCGCACATTTAATAAGTACAATGTTTTATACTGCAATATATATTTTTTCCGAAAACAATTGGCAGGAACTACAGCATTTTGACTGAGATTTTTTTTGTTTAATTCATTATTGTACAGTACTAATTCGGAGGCGTTCAAGTCCCAGCTATCAGATTTGTAATAGTCCTGTCGTACAAAAATGTATTGCATTTTGGCCACCAGAATTAGTTTTTGTTAAACATGGGGATTAAACTTTTATTTGGTGATCCGTCGTAGTTTAGAGCGTCTGATGTTTATCGATTTATCATTCATTTAGTTACTTTTTGTTTGTTTGTGTGAATTGATCGCGGTTTGCTATTTTGCAGCTCCCAACTTGAGATCTTGGACAGTATGGTGTCGTTCGAGGTGAGCCCCTGTCTGCCTGATTGACACAGTCTAATTTCTGTTCACACACAGCCTTTCGTCTCATACAATTCAGTGGGAATTATCTCCCACTCGGTTGAGATTTCAAAAATAAAACAGACTGCTACAATGGCTAGTCCGGACAGCATTGTATTGGAATTTCCTTTCTTTTCCCCACCCTCCTTTCGCCCTTTTTCCTCCATCAAACAAAACTACAGCTCCTGGCCAAATCCTCCCCTGCTTTCCTACAAAAAAAATCCCCTTGCCCCGCCTGTCACAGTGGATCTATACATAATCAATGATAGCAGCCTTTCAGGACACATTCTATCCAGGCAGTTTTGTGTCTGTTTGCCACAGTTTTGTAAAGGTATGTATATCAGTGCCTCTGCTGTCGTTTATATACTCACTGCATTTGCCTGCGAGCTCCTTCTGTATAGGTCAAAACACATCATTAGCGTGAGCTATCGTAACGATAGTCCAGTGTTTTAAGCTGTTCGTTAAGAAAAGAACAAATAAAAGGAACAAAAAGTGAGAGAAGTGGACATTCACTGTACAGAAGTCTGAACCCCATGATGTGACGGCGGAGTGTCTCTGGCCCCATATACATCCTCGGCTCCGGGGTGAGCTCCTCCGGGAGGAGTCATTCGTTTCTCTTTCTGTCTTCTGTTACAAAACCAAACCCTGACCACCTCTTTTTCCAGCTGCAGGCTGTCCGCCAGAGAGTTGATCTCCTGGGCCGAGGGCTTGGGGCACTTCAAAAAATGGCTCTCCAAAGCCCCTTTGACGCTCACCTCGATAGAGGTCCGCTTTTTCCTCTTCCTGCCCTGGGCAGCGATTTTGTCTATACTGGTGGGGCTTCCGGACGAGGAGTCAGCCTCCTCCAGCCACTTGTTCAACAAGGGCTTGAGTTTGCACATGTTCTTGAAGCTGAGCTGCAGCGCCTCGAACCTGCAGATGGTGGTCTGCGAGAAGACATTGCCGTACAGCGTCCCGAGAGCGAGTCCCACATCGGCCTGGGTAAATCCGAGCTTGATCCTCCTTTGCTTGAACTGCTTGGCGAACTGCTCCAAGTCGTCCGAGGTGGGGGTGTCCTCGTCCGAGTGCTCGTGGCCCTGGTGCTGGTGGTGGTGGTGGTGATGGTGCGGTGGGTGCTGCTGGTGGTGCGGGACGTGCTCCCGGTGGTGCTCCTCATGAGCCTCCCGCAGCCCGTGGTGCATGGCCTGGCTGCCGGCCGGGTTGATCATGCCGTTGACGGTGAAGCCGGGCTGCGAGTAGATGAGGCTCTGGCCGTTGGAAGCCAGGCTAGGCAGGTGGGCGGAGGTGCTGTTGCCCCACGCCCCGTGGTGATTGCCGTGCTGGTGGACCATGTGAGGGGGCCGGTGGTGTAGGGTGCCCCCGCTATGCAGCTCGTCCCTCCCGGACTGCACCGAGGGCTTGATGTCCTGCTGACCGAGGGGGCTGGCCGGAACGCCGGCCGACCAGGGGGAGCCCTCGGCGTGGGAGAGAGCCGTTAACCATTGGTGAGCGTGGCTGAGAGGGTGTCCATTGCTTTGCATGTAATCATTCTGGACCAGTTTCTGTGCATCCCTGTAGGCTGTCCCTTGTTGCATGCTCCCTGGCTCTGCGTGCACGATGGAGTTGGAGGTGAGGATGTTGCTGCTCGTAATGTAGTGATTAGATGCTGTGGTCGCCATGACTTGCTAAGCCGGAGTGATCTGACTTGTTAAACGAGCCGAGCCTTTGACAACTTGCACCGAGGCTCGGATCATTGGCAGCGCCGAGCAGGGGAGGCGGGGGGGGGGCGGTTAGCCGACGCCGTGTGCGTGCCGGTCCCGGCCTCCCATTGGCCGTTCGCCTCTTGATTGATGGCGGCAGCCATGGCAACCCCGGCCAGGGAACAGCAGCGCAGCCGTGTGATAGGCTGTCCGTCCCTACTGGGGGATTTCTTTCATTGCTCTCTGGAGCCATGCAGGCAGGACAAGCACGAGGAAGGAGGGGAGAGTGAATGAGAGAGAGAGAGAGAAAGATAGGGAGACAGAACGAGTGAAAGACAAAAAAAAAGGAAGAGGGAGAGATGCACAGAGAGAGAGAAAAAGAATGATAGATGCTGACAGAGAGAGCAAGCCAGAGTGGGAGAGAGAAAGACAGACAGATAGGGTGGGGGTGGGGGGCAAAGAGAGAGAGCAAGGCAAAACGGGAGAGACACAGAGATAGACATACAGGGAGGATGACAGCGACAGAGGGAGGGGAAGAGGGGAGACAAAGACAGAAAGAAAGACAAAGGGCAGAAAGAGAGAGGGACAGAAGCAGAGGGACACAGGCGGAGGGACAGAAAGTCAAGACGCGATACAAAAAGGAGGGAGAGATACAGGTCAGACACTTTAGAGAAATAGAGGGAGAAAGAGAGAGACAGAGAAAGAGACGCGAAGAGAGAGGGAGAGAGACAGACAGAGGCAGGAGGAGAGACAGTTTTTGTGTTTGTCCGAAAAGAAAGCAAAACAAAAACTGCAAAGTGAACAGCTTGAGAGCTCTAGGGGCTGCCCCCGCCCTCCCCCGTACGCACCCCACTGTAACAGCACTGGGAGGATGCCATGCAGTTTCCAAACCCAACCAAACAAGGAGAAAGTGTGTCCAATCTCGGGAAACATTCACAAACACTCGGGGAAAAGCTGCCAAACATCTCACAATCGCCCCCACCCCCTACTTTCCCGCCCCGCCCCCGCGTTTCAGATTCGCTCCGGAGGCTTATAAGAGCAACAAAAATAAGTTTACAAGTGATGAGCGGCCCAAATTTCTTCCTCCAGCTCACTGTATATTCAGTAAAAAGAAACAAATCCAGTTTGTTCCCTCTGCACAATTATTTTGGGAGTGCTTTCTAATTCCTCTATTTTACAGTGTTGATTTCACTGGCGGTTACATTTTTTAAACAAAATAAGTGTTTTCAAGTTGTTGCGACAGAAGCGTCTGGATGCACTGAGGTACCAGCTCGCCGGACCAGACCGGGAGCTAGAGGTTTCTCAATTCAGCAAACTGCATGTCGCTGTAAAGACTCTAACCTGCTTATTTTTTCAAAAATAAGAGAAAAACGGTCTTTAAACGTTACAAATCAGTGACCGTCCCGTCCACACTTATTTAGGGACAGTAAGGAGGGATCGAAGTGGGATCCGCTCTGTTTCAGTTCCTCTATCAGAGCTCCGGCGCAGCCAAGTGGCAGACATCTACTTGTGCCGCCAACGCCAGCAGTGTCCGTTTCTCCGAGAGGCTGGAGATTCCCCCATCCACCTCAGTCCCCGTCTCTCTCATGTGACCGACCCCTAAGAGGTTCTCGGGACAGGGAGCAGTTCTCACGGCACCCGGACTTGAATGGTAAACTCTGTCATTAGGAAACCTGATCTAATTCAATCTGTCCAATGCAAAGGACCCTGACTTCACAGCAAACAGATTCCGGCAGTCCTTTCATTGCTTGTGGACTGCAGAAATGTGCTGCACCTTAAACCGGGATGCAATCCATCTGCCCAACTCAAATTTCAACCTGCAGTCAAACAGGGCCCTTGCTCTGCTCCGAGTTTGATCTCAGCACCAGGTTCAGTCCATTCCGTCAGCAGTTACGCTGCAGATGGGAAATGCATCACTTTGCTAATAGGAAAGGGACATCCGAGTGATCCTGAGGACGAGTCAGATGCCAAACCAGAGATTACCGTTTGTACTTTCCATTGCAATCTTCGGCACTTCCCATTTCCGGTGCAATTTAATTTGCAAATGACACTCGAGCTGTCAGAATTTTTCTGTAATGTAATGATAGACAGTGATACCGAACCTGACTCAGGCTGAATGGATTAGCCGATGGCTCCTTTGTGCTACGGAATTCAACTCCTTTTTCTGTTTAACATGATACTAAACCGCTGGTGTCAATCTGGAGCAAAGGCCAAAGTCCCTTTAAGGAGAAGCCATCAGATTCTCGGGTGTGGGAATGTGGGGGTGGGGTGGGGGGGGGGGGGGGGCTGCTATGGGGTGGTGGTGGACATGGCGTGTCACACGTCTGGTTTTGACACAACACCTAAAAGCTCAGGGTCTCCCCGCGAGACATACTTGGACTCTCTCGAAAGATAATTTCAAAGTTTGGAAAGTGGAGATTCATCTCCGAGTACGTTCTGAGCATTAACACGTTCACCACAGTGAGTGGTGTCTTGCGTATGCATGCACAGAGCTCCCTCCACGATCAGCGCAAACTGGATATAGAGCCGGTCCAGCCCTGGCTGTGTCACAGGAGCGCTGCATGGCTGAGAGGCGGAGCTGCACGCCAGACTGAAGGTACAAACGCAAAATACTGCAAATCTGAGATAAAACATAAACGAATCTTGGAAACACTCCGCAGCTCTGGCTGCACGCGTGGAGACAGAAACAGAGCGAATGTCTCGGAATAATGACCTTCTGACAGTCTGGACTGAAAGTGCATTGATATTGCTACCGAATGTGGCAGGCAAGCTGTGCAGTGAAGCTATAAGTGTAATACAGCAGTCGATCGGGTAGCACAGTCAAAAACCCAAAGCCCAAAAGTGTGGGAACCTTGGAGGGGTGGTCACACACTGCTGGAGATTGACAATGGAACTAACCAGGAGTTCAGGGTGTCCCGGATGGAACCCTCGTGGAATTTCTTTGACCTGTCCTGAGTTCACTTCAGTGTGGAGAAAGTGCAGGGACCGAGTTCTCTGGAAACAGAATCAATGTAATTGCCGGAGGAGGAATGTTGTCCATGTGTCTATGCACATGTAGCGCTCCCTCCTGGGCAGCTGTGCAATATAAGCGGCTAAACTTAACACAGAGATAGTAGGAACTGCAGACGCTGGAGAATCCGAGACAACAAGGTGCAGGGCTGGATGAACACAGCAGGCCAAGCAGCATCATAGGAGCAGAGAGGCTGACGTTTCGGGCCTAGACCCTTCATCAGAAAAGGGGGAGGGGAAGGGGGTTTTGAAATAAATAGGGAGAGAGTGGGAGGCGGATAGAGGAGAGGATAGGTGGAGAGGAAACAAACAGGTCGCTAGTCTCTGGCCAAAGTTATGATTGGGTAAATGAAACAAACCCGCGATTTAAACAAAAAAAAAGAGGATGCGGCATATATACACAGTGGAGAACAGAAACATTTGTTAGTACTCTTGATAACTGATCTAGACCTGAAATATTAGTCACAATTAAAAAAAAACTTATAGGTCCAATAGTTGTTTTCTGCTTGGGATTGCATTAAATGTTATATTTGTTTTGAACTCGATTCAGAGACCGACTTTACAAGCTCGTCAGAGAGGGAGTCTAATTTGAGAGTAGAGTTGATCCCTGAATACTCGAAATCTGGAAGTAGGGTGAGAGCACCTGCAACAGTCGAACCTCATTTTGAGTTTTTTCGCAGTCTGCTTTGTCCAAATTTCCAAGCAGTCTGTTTGACTATCTGGGAACTTACTCAACATTGTGTGGAATCTTTTTAATGTTCGGTTGTCCAATGGTGTTTCTATTTGCTTTCTTTTAACATAAAGAATGAGCTGCCCGCAGAGCAGAGCTCTGTGCGTGTGTCCGAGCATATATATGCAGCACGTCTTTGTTGCTGAACTCAGTGTGTGGTGCAGCCGCCACTATAACCCGGGACTGCAGCTGCGTATCACACCATCCAGATAATGATCAGAGTATAAAGGCGGTAACATAATAGCATCCTATCCCTGATGAGGAATCTGAGACTGAGTCTGAGACCAAGACTTGGTGTGAAATTCAGGACAAGACTGATATATGTAAAACTGAGCCCTCGCCTGAAAACTGAGGCTGCTCGTGTGTCTAATATTGAGCCGGGCCTAATACATTTTCTCTGCTCGAACCGGGGCCTTAATCTGACCCTAGGTGATGTGATTATTAGTCGAATTATTTACTGCATGTCATTTTGCTCATTAGGAAACCCTTTATTCCAATTTTAGTACACTGACTGTCGGAACAGCACCCTTTGGCTACCTAAACACCTGATGACGACAGATACCTCGAGGTCATTGTATCCACGAGAAGGCTGAAGAACTCGCTTGGTGATGCAGGCCAAACTAACTGCATTTACAGAGACAACAAGGTGCAGAGCTGGATGAACACAGCAGGCCAAGCAGCA